GGTTTTTTCCTTTAAAAAACCCCCCCCCCCCCCCCCCCCCCTTTAACCAGCCTGCGCCCAGTGTGAGGTGATTGAGGTACAGATAGAGATACAGGTATATACATGATGGTATCTACCCTGCAATCGTACCCCTACCCCCTCAACCCCTTAACCAGCCTGCACCCAGTTTGGGGTGAGTGAGATAGAGATACAGGTATATTCATGATGTAGATAATAAGAAGATAAAGACAGGGAACCAGTATAAGTTATCAGTACCATTATCTCGCTATCTTATTCTAGTATCTATATATCACTATATCTGAATATTACTATAATATCTTATTATAAATCATTGACTTGAGTTGTGGATATTCTCTCTAATATCAAATGAAGCCAAGTTAGTTATTTTTTATCCTCTTCTTCAAATTCTGAACTGATTTCAAATCGAATTTAATATTTTCGATTTATGAGTTTGAGTGATTTGCTTTTAAAAACTTTTTTTTTTTTTGATTGATTATTCCAATAGAGAATGGTTTATCGTTATCGTAGGCGTACTGGTCGAAGGCTTGTTTGGGGAGCAGGCTGGTTTGCCCCACAAATTTTACCTGTATTTTTCATTTTATTTGGTTTGTCGTCCGATATTTGCTGCTTATGATCGCTATCTTCTTCTTTAATGTTAATGAAGGCTAGGTATTAATCTGAACTGATTTGATTATAAATTTATCAAATTGGGTGATTTTTCTCCATAATGTTCAGTTTTAAATTCTGCTTTTAGATATAGTCATTAGAAGTACTAGAAATGTACGAAAATCACATAATTATATCACAAACTAAGAATGGCCACTCGTCTTTTAACCTTCAAACGCGGATAATTCCTAACACACGTGGATTTGATGGCTCAAACTTCTACGGTGATCAGTGAACACTATTTCTGATTGGTCCAGCAAAAAAAATTCCTGTTTCTGAGACTAAGGTTAGAACTTGTGTATTTCAGATGAAATTATTGTACTGATCTGGATGATCTGTAACCAGCTGATATCAAAAGGTAAGGTGTTATAGTATTCCTGGGTTTCAGATAAACAACGTTTCAACAATTTACATTTTACAGAGTGGATTTTAATTTGGCTTGAATTTAAAGAAGCCTTATGTTCATAATTTTACATTACTTTGTAAACTTTGAGGAGATATTCCCTGAATGATATTCATAATATGTATTATAGTGCAACTAATTAGCGATTCATCAGAAAGTCTGTCAGTTGGCACATTTTCTTTCAGGGAAACGACCAATCTAAACTTTTTAGGTGTATTGAAGACACTGGGCATCGATAACACCAGTTCAATTTTAAGTCAGACGTCTTTGGTTTCTGCATTTTCACTAAGTGTTTAATCGCCAAGGTATCACAAATATCTGACGGAATACAAGTAATGGAATTATGCTAATGAATGCCATAAATGACTCGTTACAACCATTTCAACCTACAGATATTAATAAGAAAGTGGCGTGGTTGTGACGACGATGGGATACACAATTGTACTTCTTCTCTTTTCAGTCTACAGTCAAAACCAGTGTCATATAAAAATTCCAATCCAGCCAAACGAGACAACTCACTTCCTGGACTATTCGAATATATTTACCAACCTATGGGAAAAATATTGTGTTTTTGAACTAGAATCAGGGGAGGGATATCTACTCGACGTCTCTGTGAATTATGAACCCTACACCCCAGACGATTTAGACTGTTCGCTGGATTATATACATGTTGGTAACGATGGTAACAATATAGATCTGGAAAAGATGACGTCATATAAATATTGTAAGACATTATACCGAGAGAATGTTGTATCGCGATATAATTATTTGTGGATTGTCGTCAGTACGTCACGGGAACCTGCCAGGTTACAATTTGAAGTCACAGCTCGACCAAAAGGTAAACTTCAGCTCGTTTCTTCACACCAGATACAAAATCTGACAATATTCTTCTTCCAATTGTGTTCAATCGATTTGTGACCAATTAGGCCAGGCCATAATCAGTGACGACGCAAGAGGAAACTAGGATTGCACACCAAACTGTATCACTCTATCTTTAATAACACAAATCAATTCAATTTTTCAAAAAATATTCTTTTGGGGAGAACCCTCTCATTCACTCCACTAAAGGCCTGCGACAAGACGCCTCCACAAAGTTTCCGCATTTTGAATACAACCTCGACAGTTGTCCCCCCATATAGTCAGTCTTCACCCTGTTTGTACCCCCAGTCTCGGTAGGCTGGCGCTGCCACAGGCTATAATCTATGCTAACCGATCAAATACCGTTAAAAGTGTGCTGACAATACAAGAATATGTAAGCAACGTTGTACAATAAGTGTTCAGAATTCCCCGAACCTATGGTTATGGTACACAAAACTTTGTTTAAATAGTGAATCTGATTGGTTGATGCGACGAAGTTTAAAATCAGTTTTAGTGATTGACCAATCACAAGTCTGGAACATGTCCGGGGAATAACTATTTTATAACCAATGTATTTTTAGTTGAATGTAACTCTACTATGGAGTTTGAATGCTCGCCAACACAATGTATACCAACATCAGCTGTTTGTGACGGAACAGCAGATTGTTATAATGGCAGAGACGAATTCTGTATGAAGCAATACGAAGACAATTCGTGTTTTTATTGTTTTGATGGCACGTGTATCAACCCCGTCTTACCACGTTACCATGACAACTGGGGTAAAGAACTGTGGTATCTCTGTGATGAATACCAGCACTGTCATGACGGCACGGATGAGAGAAAAGGTATAAATGTTTAAGTTTGAGGAAACTGTGAGCTATTCAGATTTTGAGGGTAGAACGAAACGTCTACCTCTATTGGTTTGGCGATTGGTTTGGAATCAAGCAACTGGTAGCACCTGAGAGAGTCTGATTATAGCTCCCCCCGCCCTACTTTCAAAATATCTTGTGCAGATACTGGTTTGTAGTATCAATTCTTCGATAAGAACGTCTGCGACGGATCCTATGAGATATTTTGTATTTCAAGGTTAGTCAGAATTGTTAGCTACACGGCTTAAACTTACTGTTTTTCTTCAGATATATGTTACCGTGTTGATAGTCGAGTGGCATCCATGATGTATTGTGAACCCTCCAAAAACAGCACTGGTCAGTCAGTTCTAATGTGGAACACCCTTCAATGTGATGGTATACAACATTGTAGAGATGGTTCTGATGAATCCAAGGAGCGATGTTCCGATGGGAACGGTAAGTGTTAACTATCTTAACTTGTGTAGCTCTACGGGAAGGTAAAAACGTTTTCATGGAAGCTGTGGAGAATTACAGAATGCGTTTCGTTTCCTTGTTTTCTAAATAACGGCTCGGACTTGTGTGTTTCGTTATTTAGTTTCCATATTTTCTGAGAGATTTGATGCATGAAAGTGATAATATTTGAGAAAGAGATAAGCGCTATGCTAAATTCAATAATCTAAAGGAGAAGGGTGAGCTGAGGGCTGACATGGAAAAAGCGTCTGGTCGTTCTGATGGAACAGTAAAGCGAGCCAACGTGCTCTACGGTCTATGCATTTTAAAAATCTTCTACAGATGAATAACGAGATAGAGTACGACTAGACGCCCCCGTCCTGTATCACTGCATCACTGGTGTAAGACAATTCGGAATTGTATATTGGTTTTATTATTTCTATTATTACAGAGAAAGAGAGTATTTATAAACCAGTTTCTATTATAATCATCATCTGTTTTCTTATTTTCTCTATCATCGGAACATTGGTAGCTCTTAAAGTCTGTAAGTAACCTATTGACTATTATATCAAAACCCTCGGACCTTATTGTCAAAACCCTCATCGAATAAAACACTCTCGGGCCTTATTGTCGAAACCTTCATCGAATAAAACACTCTCGGGCCTAATTGTCGAAACCTTCATCGAATAAAACACTCTCGGGCCTAATTGTCAAAACCTTCATCGAATAAAACACTCTCGGGCCTTATTGTCGAAACCTTCATCGAATAAAACACTCTCGGGCCTAATTGTCGAAACCTTCATCGAATAAAACACTCTCGGGCCTAATTGTCAAAACCTTCATCGAATAAAACACTCTCGGGCCTTATTGTCGAAACCTTCATTGAATAAAACACTCTCGGGCCTAATTGTCAAAACCTTCATCGAATAAAACACTCTCGGGCCTAATTGTCAAAACCTTCATCGAATAAAACACTCTCGGGCCTAATTGTCAAAACCTTCATCGAATAAAACACTCTCGGGCCTTATTGTCGAAACCTTCATTGAATAAAACACTCTCGGGCCTTATTGTCGAAACCCTCATCGAACAAAACACTCTCGGGCCTAATTGTCGAAACCTTCATTGAATAAAACACTCTCGGGCCTTATTCTCGAAACCTTCATCGAATAAAATACCCTCGGGCCTAATTGTCAAATCCCTCATCGAATAAAACACTCTCGGGCCTTATTGTCGAAACCTTCATCGAATAAAACACTCTCGGGCCTAATTGTCGAAACCTTCATTGAATAAAACACTCTCGGGCCTAATTGTCGAAACCTTCATCGAATAAAACACTCTCGGGCCTAATTGTCGAAACCTTCATCGAATAAAACACTCTCGGGCCTAATTGTCGAAACCTTCATCGAATAAAACACTCTCGGGCCTAATTGTCGAAACCTTCATCGAATAAAACACTCTCGGGCCTAATTGTCGAAACCTTCATCGAATAAAACACTCTCGGGCCTAATTGTCGAAACCTTCATCGAATAAAACACTCTCGGGCCTAATTGTCGAAACCTTCATCGAATAAAACACTCTCGGGCCTAATTGTCGAAACCTTCATCGAATAAAACACTCTCGGGCCTAATTGTCGAAACCCTCATCGAATAAAACACTCTCGGGCCTAATTGTCGAAACCTTCATCGAATAAAACACTCTCGGGCCTAATTGTCGAAACCTTCATCGAATAAAACACTCTCGGGCCTAATTGTCGAAACCCTCATCGAATAAAACACTCTCGGGCCTAATTGTCGAAACCTTCATCGAATAAAACACTCTCGGGCCTAATTGTCGAAACCTTCATTGAATAAAACACTCTCGGGCCTAATTGTCAAAACCCTCATTGAATAAAACACTCTCGGGCCTAATTGTCAAAACCCTCATCGAATAAAACACTCTCGGGCTTAATTGTCAAAACCCTCATCGAATAAAACACTCTCGGGCCTAATTGTCAAAACCCTCATCGAATAAAACACTCTCGGGCCTTATTGTCAAAACCCTCATTGAATAAAACACTCTCGGGCCTTATTGT